AGAGAGCATCTGCCGCCCGCTGTAAGCGCACACCCAGCCTTAAATGGTGACACTGCTCCATAGTAAGGAACCTGTCTCTAATCCAAGAATAAGAAGTGACAAACAATCAGCTGTTCATGTCGATCTCAGATGGTGGGTTATGCCTTGAGACACAGTCTCAGACACACAGCTACTGAAAGCACTTGTCTGAACTGTAATGTTTTTGAATTTTCTTCCAGGATCCCTTTGAGATCCTGAACGGTCTTCAAAAGAAGTGTCATGAAGCATATGATTTTCAGCACCCACAGAGCCTTCAGCTTCATTTTTTTTCCCTTTTAAGGAGTCCAACATACCTTCAAGACAAAGGTAGTAAACACGGTCATTTCATGAAACATTAACCCCAATGTTAACAAGTCAGGTGAATACATTCACCTTTTTTTAGTGAGCACAGAGTAAATATTTGATGTTGCTAACTATCTCTTAACCTTAAGTGATATAATAAAGTTTGCCAAAGGGTGACATAGTTAAGAAATTAATGCCATTACCAGGTATGGCATACAACTTCTGCTCTTTTGTTTAACTAGAGTAGAGGAAAAGCCTGTAATGCCTTCTGACTGGGTTGAAACAAATGCTCACAGAAAGCCAGTTTCTCTCTGATACCTAACTGCAGTATATCAAACAGTGTTAGCCTCAACTTTCCTAACTTGAAGACAGAGAATGGGGGTCTTTGTGGACTTAGTTGTTGCATTATTCTGTGATGCAGAGACCACCAGGATTGTTAAAGAACAAATACAGACACTATTACAAAGTAATGGAGCCTCTGCACACTAAATTCGTCTCCAATACCTACGTAACAAGTGCCTACAAACATCTGGTGGTGTCAAGTTCATTGACAAGATCAGACCAAAGGGAATTTGGTTTCTAGCAATGGAAGGCATGGAAAAAAAAAAAAAGTGTTTTGGGTCTTGCATCAGGTGCTCTTGGAACAAAAGGCTGATATTTTCTACTTTGGCTTTATTAAAGCATCGGTCTATAGGCCAGTGTTAACTCTTTGCCCTAAAATGAATTAGATTTGCTAACACTGCCATCAGTCTAGTATGGTATTCGTCTTTGGTCAGAATAGACATTAACATGACATTTTTCTGAAAAGAAACTGGGAGTTATATCCCAGTTTTTTGGCATAGTTTCTGATTGGCTTTTTTTCTTCTAAGTATTCATTCCACTGTTTTTCAAAACTGTGTAAATTTATACTCACAATGTATTACAGTGAGGAATTATACATCTTACAATATGAATTATATACCTTATTTTGCCCACTACCTGCTAGCGTTATTTGAATGCCTTCACATTCTGGTAGCAGTATAGACTGAACAACTAACCCCTGTTTCCATCCCTCCAGGCCATTCACAGTCTTCTCTGCTGTGAGAGACAAGACTGTGTCCCTTTTGGAATTCTTAATATGAACTGATTTTTCTTGTCAACATATTCATCAGCTCTTTCAGAGTACTCCATTAAACTTCTGTGGTACGATTTCGCTTCAAAAGAAGTATGTTGATTCTTACCTATGATCATTTTTATTTCACTAATTCTAGTCTTCAAAAAAGCTGCTATTTTTTTCCTTGACAGGGATGTTAGGCTATACTGCATATACCTTAAGACTAGTGCTTTCTACCCTAAAGCAAGCAAACAAATCAAAAAACCAAGATCAGCATCACACTATCCAACTTAAGCCTTGTGCTACCAGAGCAGCACAAAAGAGAACAAACCACTTAGTTTTGCTGCTTCATCCTCGAGTTCCATCAGAGTTCTTGGGTGAAAGATACCTGGATCTGATGATTTATTGCTCATTTTGTCTTTTTTGTAATCTCTTTCCTCTGTCTCTAGTTTGAGACAGATCTTCCACTGAAGATGACAGGATGTCATGTGGGAACAACCTTTACCTCCTTCCTTATGGACACATTCTTAAACTTGTCAGAGTTGGAGAAACTGATTTCCTTTCTTCAAACGCTAGTAGGTATGGTAATCTCTGAATTAACTATTTCAGACAATCATGAAGGATAGGCTTTTATAATATCTATCATCTTATACTTACCATTTTTCAAGCTTGCAACACCTAGAGACTGAGCCGAATGAAGTGTCAAACGAACGCCAACATCTTGGATATAAGACATTGTAGTCATAGGATAGATATTTGCTTGAAGAGGCAATTTGCTCATTGTCAGTCTAGGCTGTATCTGCAGTATGAACATGAACTTCAATGAAATACATTCTTTTTATGCATTTAAATTTCAAAGACCTTTTCAGACATTTATCCCACGTACTTTAGAAGCACAATGGGCACCAAAGCATTCACTCAACTGTATTATTTAGCTTTTTGGAGATTTGTGGCTAAAATTACCACTTTGGAAATGATAACTTCAATGTACTTTTAGATCAAAGAATATTTAAAAAAACCTGAAAGATTCATCAAGGGAACCTACAAAAAAAAAAAAGGAATAATCATAGTTGTAGAATGACAAAAAATTTTTTCTCCTCTAGAGAGCAAGTAGTGAATAGATTCATGGCAGCAGAAAAGGAATTATGGGTTTATAATGGAAACTCACTAAAGTGTTAGTGGAATTCTTGAATGGTACATGACAAATGAGTACTAGTACTAAAATTATTTTCATGTTTACATATTCACTTTACTGTCTCCAGCAAAATGCATGCAAGGAAGGAAGGGAAAGAAAATTTTCTTTTTTTTTGTGCATGCTGCAGAGTTCAAGTTAAGAAAATAGTCAGACTATTTCAGCAGATGCATTACCAATAGAACAAGTAATTACACTCCAAAAGTACATCACTTATTTCCACCACAGCAGCAAGTAGCTGTTCTCTAGGTTTCAGTTGCTGGACCTTATGTACATCTAGCATTGTGCTACCCAAAGGTCTCTAATTAAACAGACAAAGCAGAGAAGAAAGAAGGCGCACAGATATACAAGCAGCTGCATGGTGGATTGTTGTAACTTGCTGTATTACAATTCTTATGTTAAAAAGGATACAAAGGAATATTTTAAAAACTCCTTGAAAGAAAACAGTTGCTACTTCATCTGGTCTAAATTAAATTTTGTAATAGATACATTTTAAAAGCTTTTCTCCTTTTAAATGATTAGTGGAGTTTAACATGAGAGTTTGATTAATATGATTCAAACTCTTTACAATCAGAAGTATTAAGACAGTTAAAAGCTGAGATCCTACGATTTATAATTAATAGGCAATAATTACCTGATATCCATTAAGATCAGTATAGAATCTATTTTGACTGTTTATGTCAGATGAAATTCTCATTGCAAGCTCACGATTATATTCTCCTCTAATATCCACAATATTGGAAACTTCAAGAGACTGTCCTTCCAAACCTACATGAAAAAGATGCATTTAAAAATCTCTCAATTTTTAAAAGTGATTGCCACATATGTAAGAATGATTATGTTCCCAGAACACAGTGATCTAGTTTTCCCCTGATAGTTTTCCTTCTATCTAACCAGATATCTGAAGCCAGTTCAGTTATGTACCATATGATACAGCAGTACTTCTAATTCAATACTCATTGAACAGTCAGTCTGAAACCTTCACCGAGATAGAATGGAAGTAATTCATCGTAAGAACCAAAGCGGGTTCCGGCAAAGAAGTAGGAAATGGCACACAACTGTTAAGTGCTGTCTTTAGCAACAGCTAATATGCTGGAGCAAGACCTAGCCATTCACTTCTCCCCTTGACTCTTAGGCAGCTGTCACCATTCACAGACAAGAATTAAGTTACCAGCTTCTTGACAGCAACTGTTCCACTAAGAAGAAAAAGGGTCAGCTGTCATTCTCCCAAAACAGGGATAATCTTCTTTAAGGACAGTGAATTAAGAAACCGCACATTGATATGACCACAACCAAGACACAAGTCTTTGTTGACAGCAAAAAGATGGCTATTTATTAAAAGAAGGATTAAGTATCTGAAAATGCAGACAGATGTTCAGTGAGGTTTTCCTTCTACAGTGCCTTGCTCTGAATATTAAATACCTTAATAATACTGTGTCCTTTTCACACAGTTCGAGAAACAGCTTGGACTGGAATCATACCATCATTCAGCACGACCACTTCTACTCCTTCTGTAGTCTAATATGACTAACAGTTGTGAAAAGAATTCTGCCAAGCAGAATAGAAATATGAAATACCTCTTTGCAGTCAGATGAAGTTACATTGAGATTGTCTGACAGATTTTAAACAGAAGACAGCAGAAAGTGAGTGACTGATTAACCAACTTAGTCCTCTAAAACTTGAAGACAGGATTTAAAAACCTTAGATACTAAATACTTTTTCTTTTTTTCCCCAACAAGTCACTGTATGTCAACTCACAAGACCCAAAAGCACACTTATCAGTTTGGGCTCCTGAACTGTAAAATCTTTTGCAGAAGGACAAAATATCTTCTAATAAAATTCCCAGATTCTTAAGCATATAGAGGTTAGTACAATCTCTTTTTCCTTCTACAGATATAGTTTCAAAAAAATTTTAGCAGTTCTTTTGAAAGTATGTTGGAATAGCTTCCTTAAGGTCTTTGCTTTGTCAAATTCTAAAACAAACACTCTGAACCTTCACACAATGGAATGCTGGAAGTGTCTGTCTGCTTCAATTTTTATGCTATAATTTAGTATGTAAAATGCAGCCAGGGTTGTGATTTTGCCACCTGAACAAGGAGGATGTCAAGCTCTGTATTTGTTTCCTCATCGTTCTTAAAATGTGAATGCCACCTGCAGCAGTACCAGCAAACGTTAAACTGTTAACATTTACCAATGGCTATTATACTACAGAGCTAAATGAAAAACATTTGGTTCAGGTAATTACTTCTATTTTCCCAGATCTAGTCTGGAAAAAGTGGATCTAAGTTCTCCACTTTTGACGCTCTTAGTCACTATTTTAACGTAGGACTATTAAAGCACAAGTGCATTGAACAAGGATATAATATTTTAGTTTACAATTTTAAAATGACCAAACTATAAATTACTCTCAGCGTTTTTATACTACATGATTTGAGTTAATACAAAAATACAATCATAAAGATAATGAAACATAAGAAGTTTCCGATAAAAAGATTAACAAAATCACGGTGATATCAAAACCAGATGCCAATGGAAGCAGAAAAAATAAAAAATTATTCATTGGCCAATTATTGAAAATAGTTGTCAAGCCAGAGTATTTTCTGCTCAAAATCAACAGAATTCTAAAGCCAAAAGTGGAAAAAGTAGTGCTTTACCAAAACTGCTGAAGAAGCTGTAGGACTCAGAAGTACCGTCCACAAGTTGGATTAGCCAAATGGTCAGGCTTTCCACCCTCTGGCAAGCAGGTAGGTTATAACAGAAGTATAAGGTCTTTATTTAAAAACAAAATGTATGTATGCACATGCACGTATTTATTTCTCCCCACCTGCTTTGTTACTGTAGATATCTAGTACGACTTCAAGATACCTTCTTTTAATTAAAGTAGAATCATAGGATCATTAAAGTTAGAAAGGACCTTTAAGATCATTGAGTTCAACCATAAACCTAGCATAGCCAAGTCCATCACTAAACCATGTCCCTAGGTCCACATCTACATGCCTTTTAAAGGCCGACAGGGATGATGACTCTACCACTTTGCTGGGCAGCCTGTTACAATGCCTGACACCCCTTTGGATGAAAAAATTCTTCCTAATATCAAATTCAAACCTCCCCTGGCACAACTTGAGGCCTTTCCTCTTGTCCTATCACTGGTTACTCAGGAGAAGAGGCTGACCCCAATTTCGCTATGACCTCCTCTCAGGTAGTTGTAGAGAGTGACAAGGTCTCCCCTTAGCCTCCTTTTCTCCAGATTAAACCACGCCAGCTCCCTCAGCCGCTCCTCATCAGACTTGTGCTCTAGATTCTTCACCAGCTTTGTTGCCCTTCTGTGGACTCGCTACAGCACCTCAATGTCTTTCCTGTAGTGAGGGGTCCAAAACTGAACACAATATTCAAGGTGCGGTCTCACTGGTGCAAATACAAAGGGATGATCAGCTCCCTAAACCTGCTGGTCACACTATACTGGCCTTCTTGGCCACCTGGGCACACTGCTGGCTCATGTTCAGCCAGTTGTCAACCAACACCCCAAGGTCTTTTTCTGCTGAGTAGTTTTCCAGCCACTCGTCCCCAAGCCTGTAGTGTTGCATGGGGTTGTTGTGACGGAAGTGCAGGACCTGGCATGTGGACTTGTTGAACCTCACACAATTGGCCTCAGCCCAATAATCCAGCCTGTCCAGATCCCTCTGTAGAGCCTTTCTACCCTCAAGCAGATCAACACTCC